TATCCTCATTTAAATAATAATTTCAATTCTTAATGTTTGCCATTAACTAAGGATATTTTCTGGTATTTTGAATGTTTTCCTATTCTTTTACTTTGGTTATATATATATATATAACTAGCCCCTCACACGTGTGCCAATTGTTTGTTTTTTTAAATTTATTTTATTTTAAAATTAAAATAAATAATGGGTAGTTGTGTTCCAAACAAATAGGATCTATTATTTGATTTGTTTTTAATTTTAATTTTTTTAATATGAAATATTGTAAATTTACCATAGTATCCTCATTTAAATAATAATTTCAATTCTTAATGTAACCAAGGGCATTTTATGGTATTTTGAATGTTTCACCATTCTCTGCCTTTTACTTTATATATACTAGCCTCTCCGCATGCGCTTCCGCGCCTGCGAGAGGTTTTTTTTAAAAAAATTTAAATTTATTTTAGAATTAAAAAAGATAATGGGTAGTTGTGTTCCATAAAAATAGGATCCATTATTTGATTTTTCTTTTAATTAATATGCAAAAGTGTGAATTTACCATATTATCCTCATTTAATTAATAATTTCAATTCTTAATGTTTGCATTAACCAAGGATATTTTCTGGCATTTTGAATGTTTCATCATTCTCTGCCTTTTGCTTTATATATATAGATAGATATTAGCTTCTTCGCACGCGTTTCTGTGATTGCGATATGCCCTTTTTTAAAAATATTAAATTTATTTTAGATTAAAAAAGATAATAGGTAGTTGTGTTCCATAAAAATAGGATCCATTATCTGATTTTTCTTTTTATTTTCTTTTTTTTAATATGAAAAAGTGTGAATTTACCATATTATCCTCATTTAATTAATAATTCCAATTCTTAATGTTTGCATTAATCAAGGGCATTTTCTGGTATTTTGAATGTTTTACCATTCTCTCCATTTTGCTTTATATATATATAGTAGATACTAGTCTCTCTACACGCGCTTCTGCGCCTGCTAGAGGGTTTTTTTTATATAAAAAACTTAAAATTTATTTTAGAATTAAAAAGGATAATGGGTAGTTGTGTTCCATAAAAATATGATCCATTATCTGAATTTTCTTTAAATTATAATTTTTTAAAAATATGAAAAGGTGTGAATTTATCATATTATCCTCATTTAATTAATAATTTCAATTCTTAATGTTTGTATTAACCAAGGGCATTTTCTGGTATTTTGAATGTTTTATCATTCTATAGAGCTTCTGTTGAGGGATCCCTCAAATAAGACATTCTTGTAGGGCATACTCCGCATTGTATTTCACTAATCCAAACTGTCTATTTTGTAGATATTTATTCAAAGATAATTTATATAAAAAAATCACTTGAGTCCGATATTATTTAACCATTCAATTAAATTATTGAAATTTAAGTACCTTCTTAAAGCACCGTCTTCATTGATTTTGTTGGTCTCAATTAGATGCCTTAATGATTTTCAATTTATCTGATTTTTTGCAAAAATGATCTATAAATGCTTGAAAAATAGACGGTTTGGATCGTTGAAAAAATATTCGTAGGGTACCCTAGAGGGTCTTGCTCAAATAAAAATTATTTGAGAAATCACTTAATGAAAGGAGGGGATGTATATATTTATATTTATATTTATATGAAATGTGCATTTAATTAAGAAAACTATCTTTTTTTAAAAAGAAGAAAAAACACCACACTCACGCTCGTACGACACGACACAAAACTAGCTAATTAGTGATCAACAATATTACATTCTTTGAGTTTGAGGTTAAATCTTTTCCACCAAGAGAAAATAGAGATTCGCATTTGTTAAAATATGAAAAAATGTCCTGAATTTTTCAAAGGCCGTCCAACAAAATTGAGTGAAAGATGAAACAAAAAACAAGCGGGACGAGGAAGGTAGAGGTAAGCAAAGTGTACACATAAAGGCAGGCGGATGAAAGCAAACAGCAGCTCATTGAAACCCGTCATCCATATTATCAGTTATTTATCATATCTGATATCTATAAAGAAAGGTATAAAGATTCTTTCTCTTCTTTAATTGGAGCAAAGATTCCTCTCTCAAGCAAACAATCCAAGAAAGAAAGAAGAAAGATTAGGTGCAGAGCTGGTATTGGGGGATTGAGATTTATACAGCAACCCTCCATTTCCTCGTCTTTGCTGAGATTAGAGGCCTTTGCGCCCCCCCAAAATGGACGACGATGTTGTAAAGCGAGTCTTCCAAGAAGGAGGCCGTGACTATTTCCAACAGCAACCCTCAACTTCCTCTTCCTCTTCCTCTATTCTCCAGTCACTTCCTCTCCATGTGGTATCGACACACACTAGTACACATACTTTTTTGGTTTATGGGTTTATTGGGTTATTTGTACTTTGCATTGCAGGTCAAGATTTACCCATTTTGTTGCTTGTTTAGTTGAATTGTTAGAGTGAATATTGGGTTCTCTTGGAATTGGGATTTCTGTGTTGGAGCTGTAATTTGTTTTTCTACTTGTGTTGATTAGCTGGGATTGTATGCATGTTTAGATTCTCGTTTGCTGATCCTTTTACGGTGTAGGACATAAGAATTATGGAACTGACCAAATTGGAATTCAATGTTTTTCTTTCATCTGTGCTCTTCCCATCATGACTATAAGTCTGTAACAATGCTCTCTGAACTTATATGAGATACCTAATTACTGCTCGTGTTGAAATGGTGCAGTCTTTTGATCACGGGTATTATTTGCTAGTAAAATCTATCCAAGAACTTAGAGAGAAAAAAGAGGGCATTGTAACAGTTGGCATTGGCGGTCCAAGTGGTTCTGGTAAATCAAGGTATATATAGTTTTCTGTAGGCTATAAGCATTCCTTACTCTTGTTTGTTGCATTGTTAATTTTTATTGTAATTTTAATGTTTCCTGAAGCTTAGCAGAAAAGGTGGCATCTGTTATTGGTTGTACTGTTGTCTCAATGGAGAACTATCGTGATGGATTTGATGAAGGGAATGATCTGGGTTCAATAGATTTTGATATGCTGGTCAGAAATCTTGAGGTTTGCATCTACTTATTTCTTGTCATGCTCTTTATTCATATAAATTGATTGTATTGATTCATGATTCATGCTTGAATACTTGGGATAGCCATATAAACCTTCAAACATTCAAATAATTTTTTATATAAAGAAGCAGAGTTTCCTAGTATATATGATGTTCCGAAGTCAAATCCTGGCTGATTTGTTATATTCAAATCCGTGTTTTCTGAGTGATTATGTCATTACATTTTATGTTTAAAATAGGATTTGACAAAGGGTGAAGATACATTGATTCCAGTCTTTGACTATCAACAAAAGAAACGTGTTGGTTCAAAAACAATAAAGAGTGCTTCATCTGGGGTGGTAAGAATGTTTAGCATTCAATTTGTATGGTTAACCTCAAATCCCAGATTCTTATTCTCTCCTTGTTTTTAGGTAATAGTTGATGGAACCTATGCTTTGCATGCAAAATTGCGCTCTTTGCTAGATATTCGAGTTGCAGTGGTAATCTTCTAAATCCTAATTTTTTGGCCAAGACTGTAGAATATCAGTTAACAGAAAGTTGACATGACATTTTATATGTATTTTTGGTATATCAGGTTGGTGGTGTTCATTTTAGCCTTCTTTCCAAAGTTCAATATGATATCGGAGATTCTTGTTCACTGGATTACCTTATTGACAGCATTTTCCCATTGTTTAGGAAGCACATTGAACCAGACCTTCATCATGCACAGGTTGGTAATTGACTGCTGTTACCCTTGAAATTTTATTGCCGATTCTCAATGTATTGCATTTATTTTGCAGATTAGGATTAACAACAGCTTTGTCTCATCATTTAGGGAGGCAATCTACAAGCTGAAATGCAGGAGTGAGGTCTGTATGCGTTGCTAGTTTATTTTCAAGTGATGTTGGGCATATATTTATGCATAGGAAATGGGCCTTCCTCATTTATATTGCTCTTGTAGCTATATGATTTGAAAAAAACGATTTTTGTGCTAGCCTAAGTTTTTTTCTTTTGTTTTGGTGGGGAACAAACTGGCCCAAGCTTTTTAAGATAAAGTTCTAGTTGAATTGAGTGAATTTTCATGATGATACACCTTATCAAATCTTTTAACTGAACTTCTGTACTTTGTAATGTGTATTTCTATGAACATTAGTTTCTTTGATGGCAACAGTGAGGCTTACATGTTACTTCAAGTTGTGCTAAGAACTGTATTTGTCAATTGCCATGTTATTTTTTCTTTGTAGCTCGTGGCTTTTACCGACTGGTGCTCCATCTTATTTCTTTTCATTTTTTTGTTTTGGATAGGGATTTTACTAATTTGACTAAAATTTCAAAGTTTTGTTACAGGCAGCAGAAGAACATTTTGCTTATGCCTTTCAAGGAAATGAAGCTCAAATAGATAAGTGAGTCTGGTTGGAAATTCGATTATCTCTTGGCTATTTTTTTTAAATAATAATATGGAACTAAAGAAAGTGAATTGCTTTCCTTCCTAAACTTTTTAGTTCTATAGCAACTAAAAGTTCTACATAATTTATTTTCTCTCAGTTTCATTGAGATGTATCTTAGGCCTCCTTCAGCAAGTGAAGAAGCACGGATAAATGATTGGATCAAGGTGCGCCAATCGGGTATAAGATATTATCTGTCACTTGGGGACCAGAGGATTGTCGACAAAAATTTCATTATCAGGCCAAAAGCTGAATTTGAGGTAAGAAGTATTTTCATAGGTTTTGACCATAGTATAGACATTATAATAAATAAAGCCACTTGATAATTTGGATATACATTGGGTCAGTTCTTCATCTCTCTGCGTTCTGTTTTACGTGTATTCTACATGCTTGACTA